TAGGGTACTGAGAATTAATTACAGTAACTTTAAATATATAAAAGTAAATAACTATGTAAGTGTGTTGCATAATTACATTGCATTAACTTATTTTAGAAGCATAATTTTTTAATGTAAATAGTTACAACCTACAATAGATACATAGTGTGATCTAAACCTAGGGTCAATACTGTACTTACATGTTTTTAAAAAATTATTACAGTAAAAGACATACTGCTATTAATCCCCCTCAAACTACTCTCCCTCACTTTAAACATATTTATCCCATCATTCTTGACACTTTATGAAGAAGTTCTTGATGTCCTTTCTACTGTCTGTGGTTATACCTTCATGACTGCCTGGATGTTCTCAATCAAATAACAGGATCCCAGCCTCACCACCAGCCAGCCCAAGCCAGCTTGTCCCTTAAATTGGAACAAATGGCCCAGACCCTGCCCCGTGCCTGCAGCCTCAGGGCCTGCTGGAGGCTGGGTATCCCTGAGGACCTGCTCCCTCTTTTACCCTGGCCATGGCCTCCTCTGCCCACCTGGGCCCCAGCCCGGACCACACACCCTGTCCCCACCTCTAGATAACCACATCTGTAGCCCTTTGCTGCCCTGCTGACTGACAGTCTGTGCTTGTTTCCCAAAGGTTATGAATGGCCCCTTTGGAAGGGAAGGCCCTTGTCCTTTGCCTCCTCAGAAGAGCAAACAGGGACTGAACACCAGGGGGTGGAAGCACAGACCAAGCACTGAGACAGGGGTCAAATTCACTCCCTGCTTTTTCGCCTGACGGTGCACTGTTCAGTCTCCCAGCCTCAGTCTGCCCATCTTAACATGGGGATAAGAAGAGTGCTTGGTGGACTAGTGTGAAATGGCAGAAAGCAAGGCTGACAGGCACTCCTGGTGGGAGCCAGGCAGGGATTGCAAGTGGGGAAGGGCTGGCTGAGGGGAGACAGGGCAGCCCTCACCCTGCATTGTGGGTGTGACTGCACAACTCCAGACACCCAGGAAACAGCTGGAGCTTGAAACCTGTGAGCAGGATGTGGATCCTGTCCCAGGGAAGCACTTCAAAGGACCCCTGCCTTACTCAGCAGACCTGAGCTCTTGTTCACTCCTCTCTTCAGACCAACCATGTTGTACCCACATTGGGCACATGAGGGCAGGAAAAACCTGGGCCCACAGAGGCCTGAATGGAGGAAAGGCACTGGGCTCATTCATCTGGCTCCCCACACTGAGCTGATGGTCCTGAGAGGAACCCTGCATGTGCCTGGGATCACAGATTCCTAAGAACAGGGGTCTTGACCCAGGGACCCTCAAGCCCCTCTCTTTAGCACCAGCTTATCATTTCAGGGTCCTCAGTGACCACAGAAAATTAGCCCAATTCTTCCTGCCTGGAAAGCCACATCCTCAGACTGTGTCACACAGGATATATCCCATGGGGAACCTCAAGGTGACACACACAGTTCCCCCCACCACACGCTTTGTACCTGGTGTCACAAGACCAGAGCATCACACTCGGGCAAGCTCCTACATCCTGGGCACAGGAGCTGGGTCTAGAGCCTGAGTGGGAAGTTCCAGTGGACTGGGAGAGGGAGTGGGCAGAGTCGCCTGAGTAAAGATGGGAGAGAAAGAGACACCATGCCTGGCTCCCTGGGGGCATAACAGAAGGAGGTGCAGAGGTTGGAGCCCAGAGTGCCCATGAAGCACAGAGCAGGGCCTGGAGCCTGGAGCTGCTTTCCTGCGGGAGGCTGCAAGCCGAGCCCTGGATAGAGACACATGCCAGCTCCATCCTCCCTGGCTGTAGACTGATGTCCTGCCTTGTTTTCTCAGAAAAGCAGTCATCTGTGGTATGTCTCAGGCATGCAGGTCCCTGTAACTGGAAGAGGTCTGTCTGGAAGGGAGTAGTGGGTGTCTGGGTGGATCTTTCTGCACCAGACCCAGAATCATGGAGCAGACCCTGTCCCACTTGAAGCTCATCCAGACCCCTGCCTGGCTCCTGTCAGTGGGTGGCTTTCCCAGTGACCCTGCCTTGCAGCTGCATGCCAGGGTGATCCCTGCAGATGGCCAGACTCTGGCTCCGGGGAACTTCTGGCCTGCAGCATCCACAAGGCTTTTGAAGGCTCTCAGAAATCCCGCAGCAAGACCCTGTTTCTCCTCATTCAACTCAACTTTCTTCAGACCTAATTCACCTAAAAACTTTTTACATGGAACGACACTTGCCTGAGAAGCCAAGGTTCCAGGATATGAACTAAAACTCACTTTGTCCTCCCAAACTCTGAGGCTGAAGGAGTGCTCTGGGAATCAGGGCAAAGCTCCAAGGCCCTGGCTGGCTGAGCCTGCAGCTATTACCTGAGTCCGTGGGGTGACCGGGTGAGCAGAGGCAGCTCAGCTCTGTGGCGGGCTGGGAGGAGGATACGCTGTCTGCCTTGGATGCCCACCAGCTAGCTGCTGCCCACCTCTCCACCTTCTGGCCGACACAGAGCAGCCACACACGCTTTCCAGAGACTCACACTCAGGGTGGGGTGTGGGGGCCTTTGGCAGCTGGAGGAGACAGAGCACAGCTGTGTTCCCATAAAACTGATGTCCACAGTGGGCGCCAGGCAGGCCCGGGCCGTTGACCACAGAGACCACAGCGGACTCCCAGTGCTGTGCCCACAGCGCTGTCCCATCCGGCAGTGACTTGAGGCCAGATGTTTCAGGTGCCACATGGAGGAAAGAAAGCAGCAGGTGAAACCAGTTTGTATGTTTTATTTACACTAATTTCCACAACACTGACATTTCAGTATGTGACCGGGATTTGATATGTGGTATGCTGAGTACAAAAGGTTGGACATCTGTCTGTTCTCCACTAATGGTGCATCTCACTGGGACTTGGCCATGCACCAAGGACTAGGCAGCCAAGTGGTGATCAATTCGGGCTACACACCATGGGGTGACTCTGGACCCACTGCCCAGGACGACTGAGCCCAGCCCCTGTGTTCCTGATCAAGCCAGACCTCACGTGCACCTGCTCCAGCTCTGCCCTTCACACCTCGCCCGCATTACAATTCTCCCTTTCCTGACATTTCCGGTCAGCACAGAGACATGCTGCTGTTTGCTCCATCACAAAAAGCATCCTTCTCTTGTCAGTTACTAACAGCTTTTTAGTCTCTTATCTGTGAAGAATCCTCAAAAGAACCATCCACACTTACTGTCCAGCTCCTCCTCTCAGGCTCTCTGTGAAGTTGGCTTGGCTCACACTGAGCGTCCTCCTCCAAACCCTGCTCTGCCCAGTCCCCACCCATCCTGTCTCCACCTCACCTGGCTTCCACCCCACCTGCCTACTGGGGTCTCTCTCTCTCCCTCTCTCTCCATCTCTCTTCCTCCTCTGCTGGCTCTCCTCTTTCTCCAGCCTCTCAGCATCCCCTTCTCCTTTCTCTCTGCTCAATGACCATAGGAACCCTTCCTGTCCAGAGTTAGAAAGCCTTCCCCGAGACAATGACCCCTTACGTCCAGCCCCAGCCAACCCTTCTGTTGCACTCCAGGAAGGCAGAGCCACAGGTCCCTACTCAGGGGACACTGGAACATCCAGCCCCTCTGCAGACCCCGAGCCCCCAGCCTGCCCTACTCAGCTATCCTTAGCAGGAAGCTGCATTTCCCCCAGTGCTGGACCCTGGGAAGAGCCTTTCCCTCACCCTCCCTCATAGCCTGTTCCTCAGGGAATCTCTCAGCTCTGCTCTTCTTTCTAAAGGCCTCCCCTCAGGGCCATGCTGGCATTATCACTGCCCCCTCATCCCCATCACTGGCTCAGCTGCCCCTGCTCTCTTGCCCACCCTGCCTCCTCCTGTGCCCCAGATCAGCTGCCCTGGACCCTCTATGTACAGCCAGACCCTGTCTCTCCATGCTCAGAGCCTACCTGCATACATTGCACTCAGGAGGAAGCAGCCGCCCCCCTCACCCGGCTGTAAACCCTGGCCCTTGCAAAGCAAACCCTGTCTCCCACCATCCTCTACAGTATCCTTGTCCCCTGCGCTGACCCCTGCTGTCCCTTTCATACCTTCTGTTATGGCCTACAGGCCAGAACCCACCCCCAGGGGCTCCCCTTCCTTCCTCCACCTACCTCCCAGCCTCTCAGTAGGATTCATCCCCTCAAGGGCACCGATGTTCCAGTCCAGGAATAGAACTATCCTGGGAGACATTTCACACTTGGTGTATTTCTTTGTGACATGAACGAATAAAATTGGCACAGCGCTAGTCTTCAGGCAGGCAGCCCTTCACTCTCACCCAGTTTGATCAGGAGCTGATAGGAAGCAATTCCTCCTCCACAATTCCTGGGAAAGCTCCCCCTCAGGAGTCTGAGCTGTCACTCAGCTCCTCCCACACCCAGAACCCTTCCTTCCCCAGCTGTTGGGGAGCAGAGTCCAGCTCCTCCACTGGAGTGTCTGGCTCCCCAGGGCTCAGCCTCTGACTCAGCCCACAGCTGCCCTTCTGGGGAATTGCTCCCCACCCACAGCACAGCAGGCCAGGGCTTTCCTCCTGCAGAGGACCCCCTGGACAGCACACACAGCCCAGGAAGAAGAGAGGGGGCAACTGGCTGTCAGCATTGCCTCTGTGTAACTGCAGTGACCTCTTCATGGCATCAGAGATGTGGCCTCCCAGTGCAGTGGAGTCTTGGCCCGGGCACCTGCTGGGAACCAGGTGGGTTGTTCTCAAAACCTAAGAGCTCCCCACACAGAAGCTAATGTGAGTGGAGCAGGTCCTTGGGCTTTGGGGTGCACACGGATCCCCTTGGCTTTCCTCAAATGGACAGCAGGCACTGCACAGCTGGGTGTTGGCCTGCCCAGGTCCAAACTTGAAAAGACACTGTCCCCTAGCTGAGCCCACCTTGAGACCTGGTCCCATGTGATCCTGGAGGGCAGGACAGCAGGAGCAAGCACTTTTCCAGGCAGGGCTGAGGGGATGCAGGGCCAGGGAGAATTAGCACAGAGATCCTTCCCACCAAAAACAAACTCCCAGCCAGGGGGCCAGGCTGCTGTGTTGGCTTGTGTATTGGCTTTGCTGGATTTTTAGCTCTTCCCACTGAAATACAAATCCCACCTTCTCTGCATCCATGATCTGCCTGCTCTGTGGAGTGGGTGTCTCCATGCTTGTGTTCACCTTGGGCACAGCATGGCACTTATAAACCTTGCTCTCTGCAGAGGGAATGGAGGAGCTGGGAGCAGTCTCTGCAGACAGGAGTGGACCAAGGGCTTGCTGTGCTTGGGCTACTGTGTGAAATGCCCTGAAACTGGGATGGGAGAAACTCACACTGCAGTTGAGAAACACTGAGTGCGTCACTGCCATAGGCCCGGTAATTTAGATTTACTGCCTGAATAATGGAGCCTATATGTCAGTGGCAGCCCCATGGGCTACCCTCAAACTGTGCACTCTGCACTGCTGGGCACTGGGGGTCACAGGCACAAGAGGCCTCAGAGTTCCCTGCATCGTGTACTGGTGTGGAACCTGTTCTGATGGACACCAAGTCACTGACTCCTCCCAAGCTCCAGGGACAGGGACAGTTCCTTCCCCCCATCCTAGAGAATGCCCCAGCAGCTGACTGGGATTCTCCAGGATCCAGAATGAGGCTAGGGATCTACATCAGAGCCAGCCAACTGCAGGGTTCTGAGGAGCAGGCCCCAGTTGCACTCGGAGTCCCCAGGGAGCTCTGCCTACAGCTCTGTCCCGGACTCACAGGGCAGCTTGCTCCTCTTAGCTTACTGGGCCCTGGGGCTTCCACACAACTCAGCCCCTCTCCCTTCCTGCAGGGAGCAGTTACCCCTCTCCATCTGAACCCCACCTTCAGCCCCTGGGTAGCCAGAGCACCTGCCAAGTGTTTGGCTGAAAGGCTGGCCCTCTCCTTGCCTAGGGGAGCAGAGAGGGGTGAAAGAGCAGCCCCCTCCCCCCCCACTCTGAGCTTACAGGGCCTGGGACATGCTCTCTTCATGAGGCCAAGAGGACGGGCCTGGGGAGGCCACAGGGATGGCTCAGAAGAAGCCCAGCTCCAGCTGGCATCCGGAGTGCAGAGCTTGGCTCATGGCCTCTGTCCTTCTGCTTTCAGGGCCTTGTAATATATGTTCTCAAAGTCCTGATGGGAGGTTCAGCTGTTGCCCTAGCTATGATTGGTAAAGGGATAATTTCTGCTTCAGGAGCTGGAGCTAACACTGTAAGTATGGAAGCCCTGGGTGGGGAGTAAGATGTCCCCAGAGGGGGAGTCCATTCCCGTCCTCATGTCCTCATGTCACTCATTCCTGGCCAGGCTGGAGGAACCCTGCAGTGTCCACCCCTTCCAGGCCACATTCCTCCTTTAACCTTGCTGTCCTCCATCTGGCTGTTTTTCTAGGACCTCAATATGACCATGAAAGACACAAGAGGTCTCCTCCAAAGGCCCATAAACAGAGCTAAGGGTTCTACAAGCAGCTTTCACTGGAGCTACAGGGGTTCTACTTGTCCAGGTTCCTGTCCCACTGCTGGCCTCCTGGACCTCCAGCCTCAGCTCAGCCTGGGCAGTCCTGCTGCTCCTCTCCCAAAGAGAAGATGGAGACTGAGACCAACAGCTAGGTCCCCCCTGGCCCTGTGCTGTGTGTGTGGCTCCCACTAACCACCTTGTGTGTTTCCCTGCCTTGAGCCCTGGAGATACAAATATATGTAGCTAATCACCTCTTTTCAGTCACTCATTCATTTAACAAATTATACATTTGATACATACATATGAAGCATTTGTTCATCATGTTAGGTCTTCCACCATGGCAGGACATGGGGAATGTTGTAAACATGACTTTGTCCTAGACCTCTAGGACCTTTCAGGCTCCCAAGAGCTTCAGCAGATGTATTCACTGGGTTTTCCTCATAGGCTATTTATGCAGAAAAGAGAGGTTTATGCCTCTCAGTTTGGGGAGTTCAAAGCTATGGCACCTCCATTGGCTAATATAGTGTAAAAACTACAATGAAAGCATGGGTTGCAGTTAAGGGCAAGGGGAGGGCTGGGAAGGAAAATAAAGCACGTTATTACATGCATGAATACAAGGAAAAAACCTCAATATTCCCTATCATGAATATGCACTAATAAATTTGTTGGCAGAGTTTCAGATTCCATGCTGCAAATATAAAGAAATGAACCCTGGAATCTGTGCGTTGAGCTTCTCAGTAAAGATGAGGGGCCGTTTGGGCAGTGGTGAGTGGTGATTTCAGTTGTCTGAACTGGGGAGACAGGGCGGTGCCCCTGAGCCTCAATGTGCACCTGTTAGGCGTTTGCCAGGACACTGCTGGACCTGTATGGTGTGATGTTCTGGAGTGTAGGTAACCACGGCAGCACCCACAGGTGGCACCTGGATAGTTCTGTTCACAGACACAGATGGAAGCCTTGCAGTTTTGGGGCTCTCCTGGGGAGCCAGTGTGGACAGGGGCAGTTTAGGTCCAGGTGGGGGCTGTGTTTGCATGACAGTGTGAATTTGAAGTAGAAAACTGTACATTTGAAAATGGTTGGGATGGTTGTGCTTATTTTATTACAATGAAATATAATAAACAATTTACTATTTTTTTAAAAGAACACCCAGGTCTAGGAAGCATCACCAAGTTTTAAAACCCCCAGGTGCCCCCTCTCCCTGTTCCTACAGGAGGCTACAACCCCCACTGTGATACTGATTACTACCTTGTCTCTATATTCCAGTCACATATCTGCATATCAGTGCTCCTAAACAAAAGGGAAGAGTTATCAGGGTTACTCAGGCTCCAAGTTCATCCTGGGTCCTGGTGGCCCTGGCAGGGCACAGGCTCCTGGGTGGGGCACCTTGCCCACACTGCTGCAGTCTTGAACAGCATGGAAGATAGACCTGGGAGAGAAGTGCGTACATCTGTGTGAGGTCACACGGGCTGTGTATAGAGCAAACAGGAAATTCTGGCAGGTGAGACGATCACAAGTTCTAGGCCCACCTGGATGACCCATGGAAGAAGAGCGAGGTGGGGGAAAGGTGTATAACTCATGGTGGCCAGGAAGCTGACTGAGGGCAAGGTGCCGGAGAGGAAGGGGACAGGGACCAGACCTGCCTGTACCTGAGGCCTCTGTAACTCACCCAGAAGTGTGCTCCACCAGTCTCCAGGGTGGGTCCTAAAGCCAATCAAGCTGACACAGTGGGGTTTAACTGTCACACGGACATAGATATTCTCACCCCACTAACAGATGAGGAAATGGACTCTGAGGGAGCCCTTCTCAGAAACACACTCACTGCTCAGTGGACAAGAGACTGACTCCCAGCCTCCTGACACACAGCCCAGCACTTTCTCCTATCGCAGGGTGCTTGCCCACAGTTTCTCTTCTCCCTGAATGGCTCCAACCCCATTGATGAGCCCCAGGCAGGAAAAGGCAAAGACAGCACTTTGCTGATTGGCGGCAGCCTGTGCTGGGCCTCCTTCCTGGGAGAGCATGGGGTAGGGATCCTGGGGAGATGTACTTCCCTCCATAAGCAGGAGAACCTAGAGTGTTTTATAATAAAAAGAAAAATGAACAAAGGTCCCATTTAAGAATCTATTGCCCTTCTCTCTTTCACTCATCTTTTACTGGCCATAAGTGTATAGTGTTAATTAATAGGACAAAGGTATTTAGAGTAGCTTAGAATGTTAAAGAAAATATCATTATAGCTTTCATAAGGAAATGCACTAAATGATACCCCCGAGGGAAAATTCTGACTGGACTATATATATAAACCTAAAACTGAGAGAAAGTATTGTTGTAATTTCACATCTCAAAGTGAGCTCAGATTTAATGTGATTGTTTCGTAATATGCATGTTTTGTCTTCATGTTAATATATGTTTTTATCAGTTGGTTAAAGTGCCTAGAGTGGTTTCATTCCTTTTTTTTTTTTCTTGAACTCATCTTAATTTATTTTTCATTCTTTCTTTTTTGGTACCAGGGATCGAACTCAGCAGGCAGCCACTGAGCTAAAACCCCAGCCCTCTTTTTTTATCTTTGCTGTTAGGGATTTCTGGATCTGCTAAGACCTTGCATAAAAAAATAGTTATACAGATATCCAAGGATTACCAAACTCCCTTGAAAAGAGGACAAAAACTACTAGGCTGAAGACTTATGTGAAACTTGCAAATAAGAATCTTAAATTTCAGTAACATAAAGATTTTGTAATTTAGGTTAATATGTATGTTTCTGTGCATTCATTGTCAGGTATATTTTATCCTTCAAAAGTTTAAGTTGGCTTATAAACAAATGATGTATATTAACCCAAATACTTTGTTCCCATGACTTAAAGTGAGCTGGTTCAAATTGGCTGGTAAGATGATAGCAAAGTTGTCGTTAAAGTTGGAGACATGTTTCATCCAGGTCATTAGCCAATCAAGAGATGATAGTCAACCAGTGTGCACTGTGCTAAAAGGAGGGTTACTATAGAGAAATGTCCCCCATGGTTCCAAGGGAAGCCATTTGAGCAAGCAAAACCATGACTCATCCTGGCAGATGACACAACTGGTAGAGGAGCTAAGAGGTTCCACATAAGACCCTAAAAGTAATCCCTGAGGATTCTGTCAACAGAAGTTGACAGACCTTAATAGATACATAGATGGATGACACAGCAATAGGTAGAAATTTTGATTGGGATGGGTCTTATTTTGACTTGCTCTTAAATATCCAACAAGAAAGTGTAACCAAAAAGAGGAATGATAGTAATAGCAATGTTAAACCAAAAGTTAGGCTGGATATTGAAAGGGATTCCAAATACTGCACCATTCCCCACTGGCAGTCTCCTGCTGTACTTATAACATTTTAGCGCATGGACATAAGAAATCATAATTCCCAGTTGCTGAGGGCTGAGCAGACCCCTGAATTCCTGTCAATTGTTGATGAGGAATAAAGACAGAAACAAATTTCAAAGTTTAGAAGGACCAGGATCAGATAAGCCTCTAGTGGGCACTCTTGAAAACCTCCATGGTTGATCCACTTTTATTAGCCATCAAGAAGCATAGAGGAAAGGGGCAGTGTGTCATTTGTGGAACAATAACGGTTGGAAAAATATTTTGGAAAACACAGGTTAAATTTTTATAAAGGGAGTGTATGAGAAAGGAACAGGTTAAACTTCACAATAGGGGACCAAGTTAATGAGGAACTAGTTTTTCTTATAATTTACAAGAGCCTGAGTAGATGCTATCTTGCCTCAAGAATGCCATGGTCCCTGGTTTTTGTCTTGTAGCCAAGAGACACACTGTTGTTCATGTGCCCTTGCTCTGGATGCAAGGTGCACCAACCTTCATTCAGTGGACCTGGGTCACATGGCCCCAGGCCCCAACAGTCATACTTATTACTTTCTGATAGCTATGTGACCCAGGCCCCAGCATCCAGTACCACTACCTGTTCCAAAATGTGTCGCTCAGCCTCCCCTATCATATTCCCACTGTCATGTTAGTGTACTTTCAAGCACCTCTCAGGTAAAGAGTTAGCTTCTTGTGCAGGTGAGCTTATAACACAAAAAATGGCACTACAAATATTCTAGCTACTAATCATGATGACTTTTGTGGTATAAAATAACAGTGTTGTCTACATCAGGATTTGCCTATACTATCTGGGGCTCATCTACAAAATAGAGGTTTTTTAAGACCTTCAGTATAGTAAACACCTTAAAATAAACAGAAGCTAATCTAAAAGATAAAAGGCTTCTGCCAAATACTACCTAAATTTATTTGACTTCTATAACTTTTTAGAGCCACTATTTATCAATAGTCTACTTTTAATTTCTTTTAATTTTATTTAACAAGTCAGGTAAGAAAGTGGAAGCTTAAGCATTCATGACTTGCTAATGTCCTTGTCCTTTTCTCCAGACCCTCAAGGAGTGATGGTTCATCAAACAACAAAACCCTTCATCTTCCTTCCTTTGTCTTCATTAGACCTTCAGGCAGAGTGAGAATTTTGATCCCTGGTAGCCAGGATCCACATGACTTCTCAGTCTGAAGCAGTTATAGAAGGCGGACCCTCTGTCCTTCTGTATCCCTTCACAGTAAGCAATCCATATCTGGGGCAGGGTGATGAGATAGGAGAGAAAGAATAAAGATAGGTAAAAAGGAGACAAGGAAATAATAACTAAAAATTGTACTCTTAAGAAGACTACACGGAGGATGTCCTAAAGAAATAAGTGAGAAGTGGGAGCCAGGACTGCCCTTTGGGGGCGGCAGGTCCGGGAGAGTGGGGAGGGCCAGGTTGTGCCCTTAGGGGTAACAAACTCACCCTTGTAGGGACAAGGTTCTCCCAGCCTGGATTCTTGGGTCAGCACAGTGGTGGTCCAGCAGCAAAGGAAGTCACAGCAGCCAGGTCCCAGGGTCTGGGACCTGAACTCAGCTCCAGCACAAGTGCAGTGGACTGCAGAGGGGGAGATGAGGGTCACTGCTTAAGCTGGAGTTTGCTGACAGCTGGTGGGCCCATGGGGGGACCTCACTGGTCCCAACCCTGCACTGGGCCCTGGAGGCGGCTTTGCTGAGAAGCAGAGCTCAGAACTGATGTGAGAGTTCTGCCTACACCACCTGCATGGCACTTTGTGTGCACATGCACACCCACACAAACACACACACACACAGTGGTGCATTCATCCCACCCTTGCTCCACTACTGCCAAGCCAGGGACCAGGGAGCCTCTGGAGTAGGGACAGGGAAGGCGGTCACCAGCTCCACCCAGCTTCCTCTCCCTGGCAGGTGGACCTGGAGTGGGAACCCAGTCCAGCTCACAGGCCTTAGGGGAACCCAGGGCACCTGCTTCTCTGGGCCCCAGGTTCCATCCTATGGGTGGAGCATGGGAGCTCCATGCTACCCAGGGGCCTCTGGGCTGTGACCCCTCCATAAGGATGTGGGTAGGCTCCCAGCAAGGGGACGGGAACCCCAGGCCCAGCTCAGGAGCAAGCAATTCTCCAGCTCCCAGAACAGGAGGACTGAGCTTTAGTCCACCCTACAAGGATGCAGAGCACTGTGTCTGCCTTTGAGGGCAAAGGGGACACAAGTGATTTTCTCTAGGAGCTGAGAATGGTCTCAGGACACAGCAGCTTGGAAGTCTGAGCCTCCTTCCTGAAATCCCAAGGAATGACTTTAATGAATTTAGAAGTGATTGTCACCCACACCCCCAGCTCGGCGCACTTTCATCCTGGTCTTGTCAGTGAGAGAAATTGCTAGCACATGCAGCATCATAACAAGCAGCCCTGTGAGAAAGCAGTTTGCCAGAAAATGATGAAAGCTGTGCTGGGAACTTGAAAATTATTAAAAGACCCAAAGCATTCAGACCATGATCTCAAGTGTGAAGTAAATGATATCCATGGATACCCAAATGTTTCAGACTGACAGTTTTGTGGTGACTTTTTAGGAGGTAACAGAAAGGTGAAACAACCCCAGAACTGTGAAGAAGCCTTGTTTAAATGTAACAGAACTCGTTTTCCACTTTTCTTTAAAATAACTGAAGGTTGTTTGAAGAAAAGAGATTTGATTTGCCTATCTGGGCACACACAGAAATAAGTCAATGTGTCAAATACAGTGTTCTGGTAAAATAGAGTATGCCAACCAACATCAGGCCTTAAATCAGCCCTTTTTTTAAAAAAAAGCTATAATCAGATAGTGCCAAGATGCATGTCACTTGCATTTAACAGTGAATTAAAATACTGACTATACTTTGTCAGAACAGAAAGCAAATGATGAAAAGACTTGAAGATTTGCAAAGGGTGTGTATTAGGGAAAGTTATGTACATAGCAAGGCCAGATTCATTTCAATGTATATCCTGTTCACTCTATTCTATCACTGGAAAATTTAAGAATTTTTTCCATTTTCCAATTCATGCAAAAGAAAAGAGAAAACATTATAGAACATAGTCTAAGTCCTGAGTATGATTCCCTCATGCCTCTTTGGAAAGTAAATTTTTCTCCCTCAATATAAATAAGACTGGGTCTTCTAAAGAGCTTAAGACACCACAGGACAGTGATAAAGGCACAACGATGTTTACAGCAGCACAATTTGTAATAGCTAAATCTTGGAAGCAGCCTCTATACCCATCAAAAGATGACTGGATAAAGAAAATGTGGTAACCATATATAATGGAAAACTACTCAAAGATAAAGAAGGATAAATTTGAAACATTTGTAGGGAACTGGATGCACTTAGAAAATATAATGTTAAGTGAAATAAACCAGACACACAAGCTTAAATACTGTATAGTATCTCTCATTTCAGTGAAGCAAACTGCAAACAAAGAGAATAATAAAGGAGAGATAGAGGGAGACAAGGAGATGAATCTCTTGCAAATGGGAAGTGATCAGAGGTAACAAGGGGAAAGTGTGAGGGAAATAGGGATGGGTAGAAAAATGGAGACAAATGGTCCCTTTTTGGTGATTCCAGCTCTTCTTCATCAGACTGTGACACTGGAAGTGCCCACATTTAATAGCCCTGATAATATTTAAGGTTGCTTAGCAAGATGGAGGAAGTCATCACCCTCCTGAGAGCAAGTTCATTTCCAAGCCAAACTGAGCAGAACTGCTTGGTAATGTCCATAAAGAGAGCAAATGTGAGCACTCCACCACCGTTAAGGAAGGAAATAAAATTCTGTACACAGACATCTTCTGCTTATCAAAACAACAACAACAACAACAACAACTCTGCTTTCTAAGTGAAATACTAATTTAGCTTAGAATAAATACATGTAATCCTTGTAATACATGT